ACTTCTTCTTCTCCAGGAGTTGCCGAATGTTTCTGCCGGTTCATTGCTCTTCTTTTCTTCTTCACCTTGAGCTTCTTGACGTATCGGGAACAGTTGTGATCCTCAGTCGATGTCTCAAGACCACTTTCTCCATCGAGATGTACTCTTCGTGAGGGTTGACCAACATCGTCAATGTCGTTGAAGTCGTTGAATCCGACTTGAGAATGTATCAGTAGGTCATGGATCTTTGATGCATGATGACATTCATGAGGAGTGCATTCGTATGTTCCAAGATCAACGTAGGGGATGTTGTCATGGATTGTCAAATCGATGCGTTCTCCATTCTTCGTAATCATGAAAGGCATTTGACCAGATGGCCATACAAAGGAGTATCCTTCTTCCATGCATCGTTTCCCAAGAGACATCACGGACGGAGTGTCGTCCAGTACATAAGCATGAGAGGTCACATCAAAGGTTCCCAAGTCAATCTCTGCTTCCGTCTGAGTAGCAGTTGAACCGTTGGCTGTGTGGAACATGATAGGATCACAAGTTCGTTGCTTCAAGTTCATCCTCTCGGCTTTCCTTGCAGAAATCAGATCGTGTCCGCTGCCAGAATCCAGGATGAATCTACGATCTTTGGCTTGCACTGGTAGTGAAATGCACATTATGTTCTTGGACTTCATGAGGGAGTTTCCAACTTCGTGTTCAACAAGTTCTTCAATAAAAGTCAAGTCATCACGATCATTGTCCAGTTTGATCAACATGTCGAATTTGGGGCCAATAATGATTCTAACTTCATCAACAAAACGATGGGGTCCACATCTGTCCATGATGATAGCCTTGGCCCGTGCTCGGACTAAACCGAGGGTGTTGTCGGACTTGGACTGATCGTCGGTCAAATCATCCATCGACTTTCCAGAAGACATATTGCTTGTTGGGGTCACGATACATACGTTTGGGTAGTCCCTCCTGGTAGTCCTCAATGGCGATCTCGTGCACTTCAGGTTCCAGATCAAATGAGATCCTGCGATCATCAGAAGACTTCTTTGCGCTGGCTATCCTCGGTGAGGTATAATCCATAGAATCTTCATTGTCGCTATCAAAGAAGGAATCAATGGTAATGGGAGTCGCTTTCTTCTTTGGTGTCTTCTTGCTGGTTCTTTCTGAAGATGCTGAAGGCGATTGGTCTGCATGTAGGAATTTACATTTGCTTCCGAACGTGCAGGTACCCTTTTGCCAATTCCAACATACCTTCTTTTTGGGTCCAGCTGAAGATGAACTTCCTTTACCTTTCCCTCTTGATGAATCTCGACTTCCACTTCTGCCTTTCTTACCTCTCATCTTGGCATCATAGACTTTCTGAGAATGACTGTAAAGACATTTGTCACCTTTGTTGCATCCTCCTTTATTGAAGAAGTAGTTACAGAAAATCTTCTTCTTGTCAACGGGTGAAGATGATCTTCCTTTCCCACCTTTGCCTTTCTTGTTGTTCTTGTCGGCATGAGATTTCGGAGAAGGTGTAGGAAGTACTGATGCAGCTTCACTCTTCGCTTTCGCCTTAGGCCGTTTGGGAGGATCACCTGTAGACGATGCAGCTGCTTCATTCTCCTTCTTGGTCTTGACGGGAGCGGCAGGCTTGTCTGCATCTTCTAAGGCAGGTGTCGTCTTGTTAGAGGACAATGACAGTTTCACTGCACGTTCTCTATCTTTCAACAGTCGTTCTTGCTTTCCCCGTGCTATGTATCCTTTGATCATGCCAGTCAGGTAAGCATAGGTCTTCTCATGATGCCCTTCATCGAATGTTTTATATCGGTTGATATCAAAGGCCATAAGCTTTGAATGTTCAATCTTCCGGAACAATGTGTCACGCAGGGAATTGTTGGAAGGCAGATCATCATGTTTCATATTGTATACGATGTCAAGCCACTTGTTGTAGAAAGCCTCAAGTTGGTCATCTCCATAGTAGTTGAACATATACAAATGATGGGCATTGTAGAGAACTTCAGTGTGGTCAGGTGACTTGAAGCTAATCAGAATCATTGCGAATAGTTCTCGTCCCTTGATGAAGTCCCCACTTCTCCCATACAATTGGTTCTTCATGGACATGTCATACTTCACTTGCATGGACTTGTCCCCAGCATTGTCAATGACTTTCCTCAAGGCATTGGAGAGCTTGGCATCAATGGATTGGAATCTTACATCAGGAGCTTTGGCCAGAGTCTCCAAGTCAGGTTGATCTGCAAGACACGGAGCAAGCCACGCTTTCCAATCTTCATAGTTTCGATCTCCACTTGCAACGCAAACTTCATGAACAACACTTCCCTTCCAGGATGAAAGTTCAGTGGTCTTAGGCCAGGGTTGGAGGCTGATCTTTTCGGTTTCTCTTAGAGATACGGATGACTTGGATCTATCCCTTTCAAGATTCTCCAACTCCTTGACATTGGTGTTGTACTCGTTCCTGAGCTTCTCGAAGGCTTCAGCTTCTGCTCGGTATTCCTGCTCTTCATCATTGGCACGATCTTCAGCTTGAGAGAAATTGTTCTTGTAGTAATCTTTCCGATCTTCCATCTTCTTCAACTCATCTTGAAGATTTCGAACTTCATTGTTCTTCTCTCGCTTCATCTCGTCCAACTCTGCTTTCAGTTTGGCACACTTCTCTTCACATTCATTCCGAGGCATAGCATTACTGGGGTACCCATGTAATGTAGTCGGTCTATTCTTTGATGAAGAAGAATGAGCTTGGTTTTCCAACTTCAGGGTAGCAATGGTGCTCGACATCTCTTCTACCTCAGCGTAACGCTCATTGGCCAATTGATGCATCTCGGTCAAGTGGCTTTCAGGAATGGAATAGTCAGTCGCACCTTTGATCACGAGTCTTCTGTCGTTCAACATCTTGATGGACTTACCTGCATCCCTGTGAGCACGCTCAAGAGAATCCTTTTGGGCTTCAAGTTCAGTATGAAGGCGAGCAATAGCTGTGTCCCTGTCATTGAGTTCATTGTGCAAACTGTCGAACAAGTTACTCGTCACATTCGGATTGTTGCTCATGTGATCGATCTTGTTCAGAGCATCTTGATATTTCTTACCAGTTTCATCAAAGTTTCGCTGGAAGACTTTGAGCAGGTCCTCAGTGTCAATGAGTTCAGATCTGTTCTGCAAGTACAACTTGTCAACTTCTGCCTTGGATTCCTTCAAGCTGTCACGCTCACGCACGGCTTGCATGTACATCTCGTATAGAGGTCCTCCATGCGGTGATCTGCTTGGTGAAGATCTTCTGGCTTGTTGACAGGAAAGTTCATGATACTGATTCTTCGATTCAGTCAGTTGTTGTTGCATTCGATCTAAAAGACTTTGTTTCATGTGTAGTTCAGAACGTAGTCCCATTATCCTCATGTCCCGCATGCCGCCTGATTCAGCTAGAGATTCTTCAGAAACCCTGTTCTCAGAAATCGCTAGTCGAGATTGTAAGTTCTCATTGTGGATCACCTGCAATCGAAGTTGCGATTCTTCCAAAGCTAAGTGATGTTCACATTCTGCATAACGGTCATGTTCAGATCTTATGTTACTACGGAACTCCTTCATGATCTCGTCCCTCTTCATGTCAGCAGCATCTAGCTCAGTTTCCAGTCGCCTGACATTCATGGCCATGGTGTGCTTCATCGTCTGGTTCTGATTGGCAACCTCGAGCATTTCGATCTGTAAAGCACATGTTTGGTCATTAGCGTAGCCGACCGCCAGAGCTTCTTGCTTGGCATTCATCTCTGCGTTTTCCAGTTCCAGTCTGAGTTGATTGATGTGAGCATTCGCATCAGCGCCCACATGCACCATAATTGCGTTTCGCTTGTCCCATTTGTTCATCGAATTCCGAACGTAGTCGTGAATATTTGAATTCCAAATGAGATGCAGCTTCATTCGACATAGTCTGATACCTTTCCAACTCTTCGATCCTGTAGGTCGCACCTTCATCTTCTTGTTGTGCAGCCTGTAACTCGAAGTTCAGCATCTGGAGTTGTTCGGTCATCGACATCATCTCTTGATGAGTGGTGTTTTCCAGGAAATTAAATTGTTGATAGGCATATGCTGTCGTCTCGCTCAATCTTGCCTGAAGTACGGATTCTTCTTCAGTGGCCTTTTCCAGTGATGTCTTGTATTCAGCTAATTCACTCTGATAGGCAGTGAAGATGTCGCTACCACTCGACGGGGCGTTCACTTGTTGATAAGATCCTGTCCCTGATGGAGTAGCGTCCTGAATCGGTGAAGGCGGATTCGACGACGTAGTCTTCGCCTTAGTCCTTGGAGTCATCGGAGGCGACAATTGTCGTGCAGATGATCTTCTCTTTCCAGGTGTGCTGTCCCTATCTTCAATTGCTTGCATTGTCGAAATTTGTCTCCCTCTAGGAGCAACCAGATGTCGCCTGGGTTGGCTCGTTCTCAATTCTGAGGCATCGCTTCCACCAGTGTCGATACTCTGTGAAGAATTTGACTGCGTGCCGGCAGCTGGTGCAACGGCATGTCCAGAGAAAGAAAATGCATTATCGCTGCTATCCTGTTCAGTCATCTGTAAGGCCCGCGGCTACCCGCTCGTAGGCTCCGTAGGAGTCCTACGGCTGATAACCTGCGAATCGGGGATTGCCTACCCGATTATGTTCCAGTAGATGATGTTGAGGGTAAATGTTCCAGTGACGACTTCACTCGGGCGACAGCTTCCGCATAGCGCTTCTTTACTCCGTTGCTGCAGTGGGTCTTGAGCCAAAGAGGCCAGTTTCATGTACCCCTTCGGCATTGGATCTTAGAGTGTCTAATTGTGATAATATACACTGATCCATAGCCTACACTCTATTCGCATATTACAATATTTATACATATATGATAATATGTGTATGTATATATATATGTGTGTGTGTGTGTATGTGTGTATGTGTGTATATATATATATGTGTGTATATATATATATATATATGTGTGTGTGTGTGTGTGATAATGTGTGTGTGTTAGTGATATATACATATATTATATATATA